CCCCCTCCCACAGCAGACCAGGGAGACCCAAGCAAAGCCGCACAGGCGGAGGGACCTCGCCACCCATGTGGCTTTGCTCCTGTCCCCCTGGTCTGCTCGGGGGGTCCAGCAAAGCTGCTAGACCCCCCCAGCAGACCAGGGACACCCGAGCAAAGCCGCCGCCTGGGCGGCTTTGCTCCTGGGCAAACGAGCAAAGCTGCCCAGGCGGCGGCTTTACTCGGGTGTCCCTGGTCAGCTGGGGGGGTCCAGAGGCTTTGCTGGACCCCCCCAGCAGACCAGAGAGACCAGGAGAAGCTTTTCTCGCCCTGGAGGACACGGGCGGCGACCCGCCGCCCGTGAGCTCCGGGGCTAGAAAAGCCCCATTCGTAAGTGCGGATCCGACGTAAGTCGGGGACTGCCTGTAATACTGGGTAACCATCCCACACAGAGTAATCATAGAATGATGGAGCACTAGAATTGCAAGGGACCTTGAGAGGTCATCATATCACATCCCCTCTCCTCACAGCAGAACCAAACACCATTTAGATCATCTCTCATAGGAGTTTATACCTGCTCTTAAATATTCACTCTCCCTAGGCACGAACTAGCTAGTTCAGATTAGGCTTCCTAATCCGAACTAGCTGTACACCTCGTTCCACTGGGGAGGTAGTGTAGACCTAGTTCGAACTAGGGGGGTAGAGTAGACATACCCTTAGATACTTGAAAAATACTTTCATTTCCCCCTTTCAGTTTTCCCTTTTTCTAACTAAACAAGTCCATTTCCTTCAGCCTTCCTTCGTAGGTCATATTCTCAAAACCTCTAGTCACTTTTTTTGTTCTTCTCTGGACCTTTTCCAAGTTCTCCACATTTTTCTTGAAATGTGATGCCCAGAACTGGATACAGCACTCCGGCGCCTAATCAGCGCAGAGTAGAGATAAAAAATTCCTTCATGTGTCTTGCTCACAACACGTTTTTAATGCATCCCCAAATCATTTTTATTAAACTTCATCCGATTTACCTAGGGCCATTTCTCCTTTTTGAACGAGGACCCCTCCTAGCTTGAACAAAAACCAGGTCTACTGTATGTAGCACTTTAAAGACTAACAAGATGGTTTATTAGGTTATTGTTGATGAAGATATTGAACAGAGAAGGTCCCAAAACTGACTCCCCACTTTTTTTTTTAGAAAGGCTATACAGGATCAGATCAAAGGTCCATCTAGCCTAGTACTTGTCTGATGACAGTGGCCAATACCACATGCCCCAGAGGGAGGGAACAGAACAGGGAATCCTCATCTGACCCCTCTCCTCTCACCCATTTCTAGACTCCAGCAAAATCCCACTTGTTATGCCTTTTCGGCATGACTGTGAAACATTAGTAGTATTGCAGAACTAGAGGAGATCAGCTAAAGCGAGAAAACTATTCCAGGGCTAAGAAAACGCTTCTGCAGAGAGGTTGAAAAAAAGCGGGAATGTTACCTTAGAAATGTGATGAGTAGGAGGGGATATGAGAAGAGTCTGTATAATATTAACTGGTAGAGAGTAGATAAAGATTTGTGTTCTCTCTGTCTCATAACACAAGAGCAAGAGAACATTCAACTGAACTGAAATGTCTCAAATTCAAAATAAATCATTAAGAATACTTTTTGTCCCTCAGTGCCTAGCCAGACTGAGGAACCTAAGCCAGAGTCAGGAAAGGTTTGGACATTTACATGGCTAGTGAAACTATCTTGGTACAATAGTTGCAGCTCAATAAATATTCTGGGAAGCCCATACCTCAGTGTGTTTCATGGCACAAGCCAATCTCTCTCTGTTAGGTATGATGGTGACATCCTCATGACAGTGAAGTTCCTGCCCACCCCCAATGTTGGGGGTTTTACACACACTTTTGGATTGCCTGGGGCTGTCACTCTCAAAGAGAAAACAATGGGCTAGATGGACCATCATCCCTGGAGGCATGGAAATCCTGCTTAGGTTAAAATCTATCTGTGTCTCTCAACTCCGGGTATACCTCTCCCACACAAAGAAAACAGGCAAGTTATCTTATACAATTAACGTTTCGCCGCCATCTGCCAACACCTTTATGAGCTACCTGAGTTTAGCCTCTTGGTCACCAGGTGTTCGCCAGCACTCTTCCTATCCATCACAGGGGGGAAACAGAGTGTATCATACTGAGCTCTGACTTTGTGCTCAACACCATGTTCACGAAGAGCACAAGGGCTTTGCTATTAGTGCTACAGGCCTGCACCTCTGTTACTTCCCAGTGTTCTGTGGGTGAGGACCTTTCTTATAGACACCTGCTTCTTCTGAGACATAAGCCGAAGGCCTTTCTGGATGAGTGTAACTAGAGACACGTGTGAGCAACTCAGGTGTTTGCTCTATCCATGCCTCAGAATCAATGTTTGCTGATGACACAAAAATTGGGGGATGACAACTAATGAAGAAGAGCAGTAACCGATGTAGCACAATCTGGAGTAGCTGGCAAACTGGGTCTAAGCCAATAAAATGTGTCCTCATAGAGCAATGTAGACATCTACATCCAGGAATAAAGAATGTAAGTGAGGTTGAAATGGTGCTGGATAACCACCGGAAGCACAGATATTCTGAAGAAAATCTGGGGGACATGAAAGAATAATTAAGCCGAACATGAGCTCTCCCTGTGATCGTGTGGCCAAAAAACCAATGTGATCCTGGGATAACATCCGGGGTTCTCAATCAGCAGCAGAGAAAATGGTTTTTCCTCTGTATTTGGCACTGGTGCGACTGAAGCTGGAATCCAGGATCCATTTCTGGTGTCCATGATTCAAGATGGATATTGATACACTGAAAGGCATTGCAAAGAGGATCACAAGAATTAGAAAATGATTAGAAAACCTGCATTATGGTGATAGACTCAAAGATATTCAGGAGTCACTTGATGCCATAATCTCATATATAGATACATAATACATGTACACTGTCTTGTTCAATTCCTTCCCAGCTGGTTTTTGCCTTGAACCATGAAACTCTTCCTGAGCCCTTAGCACTAACTGCAATACAGTAAAAAGCCTCTCACCGAACTTCTGCTCAGCAGAGAACATTTCATTACTCCTACAGAGAGGCCAACCCCCTTGAGCCAGCGCCTGAGTTTCACATGTCTGTTCAGGAGTCGCTTGATGCCAGAATCTCATATATAGATGCATAATAAATGTACACTGTCTTGTTCAATTCCTTCCCAGCTGGTTTTTGCCTTGAACCATGAAACTCTTCCTGAGCCCTTAGCACTAACTGCAATACAGTAAAAAGCCTCTCACCGAACTTCTGCTCAGCAGAGAACATTTCATTACTCTACAGAGAGGCCAAGATCCTTGAGCCAGCACCTGAGTTTCACATGTCTGACAGTTGGCAAACTGGACCAGTTACTTTAATCATTGCCCTGCACAATCTCTGAGGACTCTCAGGGTAGGTCTAGACTACATGCCTCTGCTGACAGAGGCATGTAAAATAGGCTACCCAACATAATCAGTGAAGCCAAGATTTAAATATCCCCGGATTCATTAAAATAAAAATGGCCGCCGCGCTGTGCTAGCTCAGCTGATTGTCAGCACAGTGCGCGAGTCAAGACGTGAATCGGTCGACAAGGAAAGCCTTTGTTGAGCCCGTTGGTGTCCTATGCCTCTCCCACTATCTTCTTCCATCTTTCCCTGTGCAGTGCGGAGTGGCTTCATTTCTGTAGACTAGCTCCTCACCAATCTACTAGATCCTCTCCCCATTCTCTGTGGGGTCTGCCTCTCCTATTTGGACTATCCATTATGCCGAATACCAGAGTTGTAACTTTTGCCGGTTCTTATTTTACAATGCCTAGTCCCACTGCATTCACTGTTGTTTGCTTGTCCAGGTACATCCTCTGCCTCCTTCCTCAAAGTCCAGTGCTGTTCAGCTGCCCATATATGTCCCTTTATCACACACCCCACTCCAGCCACACAATGATACATCTCAACCAGGACCAAAACCAAGTACCAGACTCTACAGATACCGAGTAACCGCCACCAAGCAGATTTGAACGCGGGTGCTCTGGAGCTTAGTGGAGGAGCCTCTACAAGTTGAGCTATAAAGCCAACTGTCTCTCAGCTTAGGCTGTAGAGCCCCCTTGTTCTTATTTCTGGCTGTAAGTGGTCCACGTGCCACTACATGGGACAGTGACCCACACTGTGCGCATGGATTACAATAGTGCACATGTTCCTTCTGTCCATGTCCATGGTCCTCTGTGTTC